CCCCGCTGCTCCCGCCCCGGCAGGTACAGCACCTGGGAACCCGAGGAGAACATCCTGGACTCCCGCCTCATCGCCGCCTTCGAGCAGAAGTGAGTGCTCATCCCCCGCCCCAGGCTGGGGGGGCTGCAGCAGCAGGTTTGGCTTTGGGTGGGCGAGCGGGAAAGAGTGTCCAGGCTCTCCTTGTTTCTTTTTTATCTTTTTTTTTTCCTTTTTCTTTTTTATTTTTTTAAATCAAACTTGTATACTTCTGTTTCTCCTTTGGGAAAAGTTTTAACTTCTTGACAAATTTGACTCCCTAAAGGGAACGAGAGCGTGAGCTGTACGGGCCCAAGAAGAGAGGACCTAAACCTAAAACTTTTCTGCTGAAGGTAACTCTTATTTAAATAACTTGGGCCTAGCCAAATGTCTCTCAAATCTTTCCGGTGCATGCCCTTGGAAGGACTGGACTTTCAAGTGACTTGTGCCTGATGCCTGGCTCTGGGAGCGCGGGGAAAACCGACAGGAAAGGGGGAGGGTGGGCAGAGGCACAGAAGCGTGTGACGGGAGAGCGAGTGTGCGTGCGACGGGTGCCTCAGCAGGACGATCGGCACACGCAGATGTGCATGGTGAGGCTGCAATCTCTTTTTCCAATATCCTCTCTCTCTCACGGCCTTCTGCTGCCGCAGTGGAGAGCTAGCCAGCCCTGCTCCCTGTTCCTTCAGCAGCCTGTTCCATCCAGCCCATGCTCTGCAACTTAGCAGCACGCTGAGCGGTCAGGCAGCTGAGGCGGGAATCCCGCTGCCACTTGTACTCCTCTGATTGTGCTTCAGGATGTAGGTGCTCCATAGGAGTTTCATGAAGGGTTCATGTTTTGATCTATAAACTGCAGGCTTGTTTTGCATTTGAGGAGGGCAGAGGGGGGTGGGTGAGGAGGAGGAGGTGGAGTGTTTTACCTCTGCATAGGATGGCAGCTGAAGTTTCCAGTTCTCCTCTTATAGACTTAACATCTCTGCAAGAAGATGTTGTCATAGCATCTCTGCTCCCTTGCAACGAGGAGCAAGGAAGATAGTCCCTAGTGCAGGCCCTCCCTGTATTTTTTACTTTCTCTTCTTAAAAGCACCAGTAGCTGTGTGACTGCTATGCGAGCTTTGTGTATTTATTAGTTTACAGACAAAGCACCTTGCTCTACTCCTCTCTTCCCCCCTTTTCCTCTCCAACTGTCACAATCTCAGACTTCAAATGAGCATAGAAGGAACACAGCCTTGTATAGTTCAGACAGATGAGCAAGTCCACAGCTTCCCTGGTTTCATTCTGCTATGAAGCCCTGGAACAGCCGGTGTGGACCCTGTGGTAAGGCATCGCTATCACCAAGTCATTCTGTGGCTTTGGGCAACTCATTTAGCCTTTGTGTGTGTTTCCCCATCTGTGAAACAGGTTAATACTTTCCTTTGCCTGGCAGCAGTAGGAGCTTTACTCAAGTCAGCGCAGCACTTTTAACTGCATGAGCACTGGAAAGAGGAGTGAGGGGGTAGGGTGTCACCTCTTCTTTGCTTTGAGAGGATATAATGAAGCACACGGAAGAAATGCAGGAACAGGCATATTCTGATGCTCTTCATAAAACCCATGAGACTGTGGTAGTCCTCGGAAAGTCCTGCTGATGGAACTGTCCTTCTCCCTCATTGCCTGTTTTTCTGCTAACAGTGTTCTGCGTCTGCAGACTGAGAATTACAAACATATCTGATACGTACTAGCTCTTATGCTATATTCAGGGAAACCAGACTAGTTGGCTTTTCTCTTTCTGGCAGTCATGCATTAAATGTAACCCTTGTGTTTAGATTTCCAACAATGCAGAGGAACACTTAAAGGGAAACCACCAGTTTAAAATAGTTCTCTGCCTGAATTAAAAAATACTGATATTTGTAAGACCTGACACTGTTCAGAGCTGTAGAGAAATGATTATGCTATGTGTAATCAGTTTCTTTTATTTTTGATTCTGAATGTGATACGGCAAAATCCATTGCCATATTACTCATTTAAAAAAAAATCAATCATTTTCACTCATCTAAAAAACCAAAACCAACCCCCAAACGCAAAACCCACTCATTGCTTCTCTTCTCCCCTTGCTCTTTAAAACCCCCCTAAACTTGGAACCTGAATTATTCAACAGTATCCTTTGAATCACGTTGGTGACACGTTTCTGTGGCACGTCTTCCTTCTGCCAGCTCCTCAAACAGTAATGAAAACCTGTAGGTTTGTGGAGCTGGCTCACTATTTTGTAGAAGATGGATCGTGATGGGGGAGCAAGATTAACTCTTGTGAAGGCTGGTGCCACGTTGTGGGAGAGGCTGGCAGGGCAGAGCGCTTCCACTGCCGCTTGGTTTGCACCTCTGGGAAACAGAGCTGGCGGAACTGTTAATGCTCTGACTTGCTCTTCCTCTGTGACTTCGGATCCTACCCTAAAAATAACACCCCAGGCCAGGCAGCAAGAAGTAACTCTATCTCAGCCAGCCCTATCTGAACTTGTTTGCGCTCCATTCAGGCAAACCACAATCAACACAGCTGTGGGTAGAATTGTGACAGAGACACTGTCACATGGTTTGCATCCCTCGTCAGTCCTTCTGACCCACTGAAGGTGCACGTTTGACCTCTGCCAGCCCCGCAGCACCAGTGCTGATATGGGAGGAGTGGGACTGCCTCACGCATCGCTAACAGTGTTTTCAGTTCTTTCAGCTGCAGAATCTCTCGCCAGTGAGAATTTCGGAAGCGAGGGAAGAAATTTGATTCTTGTGTCCCAGAGGGAGTATTTGGAGTTGGCAGTTAGAACAATATTCTTTTTGATCTGTTAACTGAACAGATTAGATCTGGTTGCAATGATTTTTAAGCAGAAGTCTGGCCTAGGACCGCTTTGGTAGACTAATCTGCCCTGAACTTGGTGGCTTGCTAGGATTTTTCATGTGCTTAAACTTAGGCTTCTGAGTCTCCGGGATGGCATCAAAATAAGTGCCCTGAAACGCTGCTCAGTCCCTTGGGTTGTGTGGGTGTTTTAGCTTGCAGTTGGGGCTCGGTTTATCCTGGGATTAGTTCTCAAAAGTTGCAGATAGGCACCCAGAGGGATTTGCAGAAAGCATTCCAGCAGGTTAGTGGCCCGCGCCTTTGGAAAAGCTTTGAAAAGCTGCATCTTTGGCCACCTGCTGCCTTTGTAAGCCAGGCTCCTGTTTCTAACACTTGCCCTTTCGATCAGACTGCACAGGCAAATTACAGTCCAGATTTTGTAAGATCACTGTCAAGATGGCCAATGTTGAAAGCAACCCCTGCAAACTTGAACTGCAGAGTTTTGGGCAGGAAGTGGGTCTTTATCCTCTGCATACTAGGGGCAAACTTTCCCACAGCTGAGATCAGGCTTGGCGGGAGGTTGTAATTCTTGGGAGGCTGCTGGTATGCTGCAGCCTTGTGCTGAGCGGTGGGAAGTCGAGTCCTTGGTCTGAAAGAGGCAGCACTGTACGTAAGGCTCTTACCTTACTACTTAGGTGTCTGGCAGAAGTCATCCTTGAGGACAGGCCCTTAGGCTGCGGGTCAGAGTGGAAGCTGGTGTGAGGTTAGAAAGAGGTACAGCACATGCTGGAGTGATCTTCCTCCTCTTCTTTTCCTGCTCAATTTGCTCTTTTTATTTTGCTTTTCCCTAGGCACTCTGCTGTGCAGAATGCAAAACTCACCAACTCATCTAATAAAGTCAAGCAAGTGCTGTTCAGAGACAGAGCCTGATCTGCAAGCTCAGTGGGTGGCTGGCAAAGACCCTTAGTTGGGCTGGCCATAAATACTAAGGGGACAAGGGTGGAGAAGGTTAATGGGAAGGAAGAAGTAAGGGAGAACAGAGTAAAGGAGATTCTTAGTGGGAGAGTGGGGGAAGAAGGGGCTGAGCAGCGTGGTGCTCTGTCACTTTGCCCTTTCTTGAACTCTAAAGTTGGAATTGGGTTTCTTTTGATCTCCTCCCTGTTCGTAAATTATCCCCGAGCGGTTTGAAAACAAACCATTCCCCTTTGTAGCATTTTGTTCCCCATCCAGAGGGAAACTTTAGTTTATGGCAGTGTTGCTTGGGAGAACTGTGCTATGAACTGGCTTGCTT